ACAGCTGGCCACTGATGAGAGAAGACCTACATTTTTTTAAATCAGTAGACAAGTTACTAAAAATAGTCAAGACAATTTTCCCTGGTTTTCAAAACACACAAAAACAACTGCATACCATAAGCTTTGTAATAATTTAGTTGGGTTCTACAGAATAGAATATTTCAAATTGATTAAGAAACCACATAAATTACTGGTAAATCTCCAAACTCCAAATGTTGTTCCCCTCCAGGGATTATTTTGGTGCATATGGAAAAGTGGTGTAAATGCATTCTTACGGTAACCAGCTCAACATCTGAAGTATTGTTCTGGCCAAAAACAGATAAACCAGTTTGCTTCGTAGGGCATATTGGTATTGCACAATACTGGATTTCACAGCTTGAGTTTGCCAAAATTTCTTTTTTATGGAACAACATAAGCCTTTTATCTTTGAAATAAAGTCCTCTCATTTGTATTGAAACAATGCAATACGATTGTAATAACAAAGAGTCATAATACGCCAGCAAGGAATTCTACTTATAAAACTGAATTTAGAAACAGTTTAATACCAACAGCAAGTGCTGCAGAGACGAGTATTTTACTTGGAGGTCTCCCATCCCCAGTCTGAAAAAGTCCAGCTTTATTTTGCTTCGGAGATCTGACAAGATCAGAGTACAATGTGATAGCAGCACTGCCATTTTTTACACAAAATGTTTACACTTGTACTCATTTAATACATTGTCTATGGGCATTGTCAAAGCTATCACAACTGAAAGTCATTAATGGGAGAACCCAGACAAAGTACAGGTAGAATTTGTGGCCAACTGAGGATGCCAGAAAGCTGATGGACTTCCTGATAGGAGTAAGTGACAATATCAGAAGTCATTACTCTGTGTTTGATAACATCAGCAGCTGTCCAGAAGGTATCAGGACCAGGTGCTCCAGCCAGCAGAAGTACAGCAGTGGTATTTCAAGGCTTTCTACAGTGAAGCAGGAGAGGAGGAGGCCACGGATGATGCCACAAAAACCCCAGGAGTAAAAAGAAGATGTTTTGAGGAGAAAAGGACACACTTTAAACAATTCCCCTCATGCAACACCTGTAGGAGCTGTTTAAATAATAAATACAGCTGTTTACTGCTGAACTAAACATTCCAAGTTAGGTGTTATTGCAACAATGAACAATTTTGATTCTTTCATTCCACATCATGATTTCAATTTCTTTACAGACTTTCAAATGAGATCACATATAGCATCTTTAAAAACGGAACCACCTTCCCCTTATACAACTTGAAAAAAAAAGTATGGAAATTAAAACTACCGACAAGGCAGAGAGCAATATCTGGATGCCAGGCAGTCAAGGTTTATCACTTAAACTAATTATTTTCAAAAACATATGAGTGTAAGTCTATACAAGTGTAAGCATTTTTCAAATTATTATTATTTATTAATAAAATACACGTCTTCTCCATGCCTAAATGCATCTTGTTTCAGAAAGATTTGATAATGAATGTCAAATCTTGAATGGCCAAAACAGCCATTTAATAAAAAATCAAAACATTTAAGCAGCACAGAATGGTGGGTTAAATTATATTAAGTTTTATCAATTTTTTGAATGTTTTTTTAACTTTTTCTTTCAGCTCTTATATTAATTTTAAAATTAGTCTCTAGATCTTAGGCATTTCTAAATGACCCAAGCTACTTTATAGTAATATCCTGTTGGATTTTTCTTCTGTATACACTACAAGCTACATTATTGGTGTAAACCCTTAAAGCATGTTTTTCACCTACACAATGTAATCCAGCAGGCAACCTTCATGAGTAAAGTAACAACATGATTTACCCATAATTGTGTGTGTTATTGAACTATGCCTTGTTAGCTATGTCCGATATACTGTGTAAGCTGCAACCACACTTTAGCATGTTTTCTTTTCCTGTTCATTGCATTGTCTGTAAACAAAGATATGGACTGTATTCAATATCCAAATGTTTTATCCAATATCCAAAAAGTCTTCATATTTTAATCTAACAGCCATATCCTCCATTGTCCAAACAAACACAAACGCTTGCCATGGTTTTCTGGAATGGGATCTTCAGAAGCCATTGTATTCTGAGGGCAACAAAATGTAAATTTCTAAAATGCCAAATGTGGACAATCAGCCTCCTTTTCACACACTGTACAATATGGCAGTGATTCCTATGAGGAGCAGGTGTGATTTTATGAGAGGTTCAAGGAAAGGGGTCCTGAGCTATTGCAACTTATATTTATACAGTCGTATTTATCAAAACAGTACACAGAACTGCTGAAAAACCGGATCTTTCCAATTCAGTACACTCAGACCACATACTGCGTCACTGCAACATTTTGTTTTTCAGTACTGTTGCAATCAATATTATTTAAACGTACAGGGTTATTAATCAACTTGGAATGCACTGCATATTAATCTCCAGTGCGTCCTTTATCTCTGAGTGGAGCCAAGGGAATTTCCTTAGAGAAACAGCACGTGGCAATAGCAAAAGTTTCACTACCCTTAGGAAATCTATTATATGCACAGAAAACTCTCCCTATTAGAATGTTAAAGTTAAAATAAAATGCTTTTATTCTGAAAGCCCCCCATGTGCTTCTGAGCATTTGATAAATACTGCAGAATACAGCCAACAAGTTTGAAGTAATTTATTCCAGAACCACACACAAACTATAAATGTGAATGGGATTACTATATTACAGTGACAATTATTTGTTTTTAAGAGGGGCATTAACATGTGTACACATTCACGTGGAGACCAGCAACCATCGTTGGCAGGACTGCAGCCCAGTCCTAAATTAGAATTTGCATTAGAATAAGATCACTTTATTGGCCATATACAATTTTTTGTATTAGGAATTGTCTTTTCGCATACCCCAGCTTGCTCTGAGACACATAAACACACAGACAGGGAGAAAAGCTTGGGGTCAAAGAGCAGGGTCAACCATTTATACAGTGCCCCTGGTGCAGTTGGGGTTAAGGACCTTGTCCAGGGGCCCAAAGGAGTAGGATACCTCTGCCGGCCGTGCGATACGAACCAGCAACCTTCTGGCCACAGGCGCAGATCCATAACCACAGAGTCACCGCACCGCCCAAAACACAAAGAAGTGGATCTACTGGGATTTCTACAAGGAACGGAAGAAGAGCGAGCCTGCACAGTCTTAAAGGAGCTGAAGTCAAGTTATCAGGCAGATGAAGACTGAACCGTGTTGAAGTTTCTTTTGGTCAAAGCACGGTCTTCCAAAAAATGTAGCAAAACTGGAGAAAATATCACTTGCAAAGGCAGTCTGAAGTCCCACTTAAAGTGGTCTCTGTCTTAGTAGTGACTACCCAACAGCCCTAACTAAATACTGGAGAGTTGGGGCATCACATCTGTGCTGTAGAACTTGGACAATCAATGGAAATCAATGCAACTGAACACGTGTGGGCAAAGTTCGACCACCTTTTTCAGAGGAAGGTGACTTTGGCTCTCCTGTTCCCTTATACTATAAGCCTTTACTCTGACTGTGTCTCAATTGATATACAGTAATGATCCTTTGCAGCACCAGTCAAGTAATTAAGACCCAATCGATTAATGAAAGAGTGGGCTGGATGCAAATCCTGCAGTGGCTCAAAATGGATAATGTGAAGGTCCCTACTCTTGAGCAATTTCACTTAAGCTGTCTCTGAACAGCCGAACCTAGATTTGTAATCTTTACCCACAAATTCCATTTCCTTTTTTCTCATTGTTCTACCAGTGATTAGCACTACCCTCTGCTATCCTGAGGTAGTGATATGTGGTCTCCAAATAACTTCAATGTTCAACCATATACTGTACTTACAATAAAGTCACCATCAAGAGGAAAAACAAGCCTGCACATACAGGATTTTAATGGACAACAGTTCATAGAACTGTCCTTCTTAATGGAATATCTCAATAATTAACATCCTAATTGGCTGAAGAGTATTTTGAAAGGCATTTCAAAACAAAAATAAATCCAGTCATGAGATATATTAATCGCTTCTGAGAAATAAATATAAATCAACTCAACTTGCATCTGCCGGTAATTCAGGTGCGGACCAGCGGACAACGATGCTATACAATACATAAATTAAGCACATGAAGATTTGTCCATAGTACAAACTAATCATAAAACTGTTTTTTACCAAAAATGCCTATCTGAAACTAACCTTTAGACTCTTGCTTCAGCATTGTGATTAAGCAACAAGTTATCGCAACCAGTTAACTATTATTACACAAGCTCCGAGAACTCACTTGTAGGTCAAAATTCATTAATGTATAATATGGTGATAAGCCGTCAAAAACTTATACTCAATGTATAACAATTCCAAAATAATATCACTTGTTAGAGCATGCATGCACAAATGTGGGGAAGAAAAAGATTGTTATTAATCTCCATAAAAAATAAAAAGTCAGACTTGCTTTAAAATAAACTGGGACTACATCGCACACCAACATTATGGTCAGTTTATAGCATTGTGTGTTCTGTAAACTAATTTTCATTGAAGAAATCATGGTCATAAATCTTCTGAAAAAACATAATACGTCTGTTACGGACAAATATTTTTTTAATAACCAATTTAAAAGTACTCAATTAAAAAAAACTAAATTACAAATTGTCAAATGTATTTATCAGTAAACGTGAGGTTGAACAGACATATCCTACATTTATTTGACCAAATATTCATCTTTGCACGTGTTTATACTGTTTTGCACAGAGTCCACAGCATAACTAAGTTCTAAAAATGCGCGTAAAATAATGAAGCATCCCTCTTTAATTACTGAATAATGTATAAGAAAACAACGCACAACTTTTCAAAGTTTCGAATCAAGGTTTAACAGCATTGGAGTAGCGCTGTTACTAATCGCTAGTCAAACCGTCCTGTAATCCACTGCATTTGCTAATGCATTCCAAAGCTAATGCAACTAAATACACAGCAGCTGCCGTCACGATGCAATTAAAAGGGTTTTAAATCTTTTAGTTTAATCTGCGCCAGTACCTTGCTTTTGTGGAGCAAGTATTTGGCTGTTGCTCCACGTATTCCTCTCACTGCTGCCATGGACGCCGCCATCTTGAACCGGAAGTATGAAACGAATTTGACCTTTGGACAAATGAAAATCTTGTCCTTCTCGGAGGAGACGAAATAGCTTCTCCCTGCTATGCTACCTGCATCAGGTGTTTATGTGAGATGCACAAAGTGAATCTCAGGCCATTTATGTGTATTCCACATTAATGTATTTTTAATTCCAAATCCGTATAATTATCTTGTATGAATGTTATTTTATTGTTAATGTTATTCTAATTAATTTTAGTAAAAAAAAATAGAATGGTTTATTTTATATAAGAGTCCTTTTACTGCTGTTTTCTTTTAGCAGGTACAGAGCTACAGATCTTTACTCATCTCAGAAGAAAGACTTTTGCATGAAAAATGAAACTAAAGAGAAGCTTTCAAGAATTCCAAAGTGCAGTAGTTGGTCAAAACTGTCAGTAATCTTTTGGTGCACATTGTTCTTCTGTTTATACCCAGAAAAAGAAGCATTAGTGACAGATAATTGACCTTGTACTTTATTAAGTGTCCTTGCTTTCTGCCTGGAAAACTTGGTCTAACTGTTGACATGATCAGTTATTTGGCAGGAATCACCAGCTTGTGTCAAGTATATATCCTAAATGTGAGAACAGAACAAATGGTACCCAATATAGATTCACTGAAGGACAGATGGATGAAGGATAGCCAGAAAAGTTCATTGCAGAATCACTGTAAGGAATTGCTGATGCAAGGGTGTACTCCAGAAGCAATTTTGGTCAGGTCACTATGACCAGGAAATGCATCATTGACTTCATTTTAATATTTTATCTCTTTTGCAAAATATCTATCGATTTTCTATCTGCCTTATCCAATACAGGAACACAGGGGAGCCAGAGCAATCACAATGAGCAATGGGCACAAGGCATGGTACACTCTTACACAGGGACAATTTTCCCAGAAGCCAATTAACCTACCAGTATACTGTATCTTTGGACTGTGGGAGAAAAGTGAAGCACCTGGAGGAAACCCACATGAACACAAGAAGAACATGCAAATTCCACACAGCATTTAAGAATTGAACCCTAGGCCCCAGCATAGCAAGACAGCAATGCTAACCACCTCTCCACCATGCTGCCCTCTTTTACAGAATATCTAAATTGGAATATGCTTAATAAAGTGCATACTTATGCTTTCAAGATGCACAGTCCACAAAGATTATGTATCTTTGTGTGTATAGAATTATATACAGACCTGAAAAAAGTCTGTGTGCCTCTTGTTACAGTATAATAACAGGAATTACAGTTTATATTTACTAATTCAATGTTTTTTAGACCCAGTGTTGTATGAAGTAGAGGAATGAATAATTAAGCATCAGTGTTTGTGAAATAATATGTGTGCCCCTGATTTGTTTAGCACAATTCAGGGCAGATTAGAATCCATAAATGGGTAACGTAAACTAGATCTGGGGTTGAACAGCACTGTCCTACTGTATATAATATTTAGAAAAACAATCTTCATCATACAGGTTAGCAGAAGCACATCATGTCACAGTCAGAAGAGATTTCAGAGAATGTCAGAAAAGGGGAAATTGATGTTCGTCTGGAGAGGATTACAAAACCACGTCTAAATATTTGGGGCTCTATGTAACCATTGTCAGATAGTCGCTGGATAGTCTTTGGATATCTACAGTTGGAAACTATTCAAGACCATGGTGGTTCTAAGCATGATCTTTTCAAAATCGACCCAAGAACAGCACAATTAATCATCCAGGAGGTTTCAAGAGCCCCAGAGTAACATGTAAGGATCTGCTCTCACTGCAGCTATTGTGTGTATTCGTGTGTCAAACACCAGTAAAAGGCTTTAGTAAGACAATAATTAAAATCTAATTAATTTATGTTTTAGGATATACAAGAATAAGGAGCAGCCTAAAATAAACCTTTCCCCTGCACTGTGCACAACATACTTTATGTTGAAATATGATTTAGAAACTTCCACATAACAATGCACACCTATAACTTGAATTCCCTATTGAATATGACTTTTAGAACTCTCTACCAAACAGAGGAGATGGAGGCATGAATATTAGAACTAAGACTTGCTCTGGACAGGATTATTAGCCAGATTTCTGTAGTCCTTTAATGTAGGAACATAAGTACCATAACAGCAAACAATAAAGGGTAGGACCTTTTCACAGTTATCATTTTCTATTCCCACCAGGGCCACATATTCATTTATTTTAATAAACACAATTAGAAAATACTTTTTCCCCCAGGTTTATTTTAATGTTATATTCAATTAAAATATAAATATGATTGAGAAAGGTCTAAAAATGTCTGTAGTCTCGAAAGAAGACATGGACGTGTACAGAGCATATCCTTGTTTAATAAAAACACAACAATCTAAGTTTTACATCAGTAAAGCTCTTTGGGCACATGGGTAATGTTGATTATATTTTAAATAGCTGGCAGACAGGGCTGTTGGTTGGGTTGTATTGCTCCTTTGAGTCCCTTCCTTTATGTAAAGAGCTCTGGAATCCTTTGGGATGAAAAGCATTATAGAAATATAAGCAATTAATTATTGTTCTTTGGGACAGCAAAATACTGAATTCAAGTCTTGTGATTTCATAAAGAAAACAAGTGCTCAGTGTCTGTGTTGAATTAAATATGCCAAAATGAGTTGATTAAGAATTTGTATAGCCATTTAAAAAGACATAACTTTAATTAATTCAAGCACATCTAAAGATACTGCCATGTTCCGCTTCAGTAATGAAGGTTGCTGTTGGTATGATTGAAGGCGGTCTGTCGGTGAGAGAACTCGCTTGGAGAATGATGTTTCGCTTCAACAATCCTCAGATTAGTCCGAAGAAACCAGGATACCGTCTCCATGAGGGACAGGCCATGTTCTGGAAGGCAGAGGGTCACTGCACCAGCCTAAAACCATCACATCTGTCTGATCAATCAATGTAATCATTTTCAGATTGCAGTGGCTACAGCACAAGGAATATGAGCAGGAAATAACCCATGCATCAAGGGTAACATTCTGACAACTGAGTGACAAAATCACTGTTTTCTGTAGACCAGGGAGCATTTGAGATAGCAACAGAGAGCTGTGAAAAATTCACCAACAAATGTCGTTTTGCCCTTGACAGACCAAACAGAAGACAATGCTGTGGAGATGTCAGATTGAGAGTTAAAAAGACATTGTTTAATCCAACTGGTGTGGTAGTGGAACTGTAATATTGGGGTGAGGATTCTGCTTTAACGCAGGAGCACCAATTGGTACAGATTTAGTGCAACTTTTTGGCATCACATTGACTAAGTGTTTGTCCTTCCCCTATTCATATCAATTTCTCAGCAGGGAAATTTAACACCATACAATGCTGGGATTACAATGCTGTGGCAAAGGTGTAATTACATTTTACCTATTAACAGAGGCCACTATAAGGTCTTTATCCATCCATTTTCTAATTCCAATTCAGTGTTGAGGAGGAGACAAAGGCATGCAACAGACGCAAGGCCATTGCAGTAAAGACAGACACAAACACAGACATGCACACATTCACACCTAGGGCCAGTTTTTCCAAAACCAACTAACCTACCAGTACATTTTTGGACTGTGGGAGGAAACCGGAACACCTGAAACCCACACGAACATTGGGAGAACATGCTATATAAATTCCATGAAGATGTCATCTCCAGTGTGGAATTGTACCCAGGGCCTCAGCATTGCAATGCAGCAAAGCTAACCACTCCACCACTATGACACCCCACAAGGCCTCTATTGCTTATAAATAGTCACAGTGGGGATTAATCGGTTAATTAATGCTCATTTTCTCATGGGTGTAATTATACGATAGTGATGTATTTATCTAAAAAGGCCTAAAATAAAGTTTTGTGGGCTATACTTTTTGTTGTCATTGTGAATTTTGCACATGAAATCCCGAGAAACTGCCCTGGTAAGGTAAAGTTCTGTCACAGACAGGTAGTTTAGTAAAGTCTGAAGCAGACAAATGTGTTGAAGGTGTGACGAAATGTGTTGCTGTTTCCTGGGCATATAATATCTGATAAGTCTGATATCTGTCCCTGACCAAATACTATTCACCGGGAAAACAGAAGGTTTATCAACAGGGGAAGTGCAACGGTTAAGGTTAAGGACCAAACAAGGGAGGAAAGGCTAAAACAACAGAATTGGTCTGACCTCAGTTGATACTCGAAGAAGGCTCCACTTGACACTCAAAGAAAGCTCCACAGCCGAAACATTGTCTTTTCTTTCTTCTCTTTTCAGCTATTACTTGTTCTTTTGCGGCCTACGCATGCTGACGCAGCCACCTTGCTGAACTACTTTGACATCAGTTGATTACCTACTTTTTTTAATAGTAGGGAAATTGTGATACCATGCAATTCATCTAGACCACACTACCTAAAGAAGAGGAACTGCTACAAAAATAATAAGATCTTGCTGTGGCCAGCTTTTCTCCTGGACCCTAACATCTAAACATCTTTTGGGTCAACTTACAAATATCATCAACAAACATGGGCAGTCAGTCTTAGCCAGCTGGCTGCAGTTGCAAAGGAAAAGTAGCAGAACATCCCACAGTAGGCAATCCAAGATGGTCTATGAATCAGCCCTGCCAGGAGTGTTAATACCCATGGGGGTCATACCCAGTTCTGTTTTCAATCTGACAGTGTCACTTTTCATACTGATAACATTCTCTAATCTGTATTTTTTTTCATGTTTTGTGATGTTTTTGCTATCTGTGATTAAATCTGTTAAACCTGAGTGTTGCATTGCTTTTGTACAGCGGTACATTATAAGACTGAGGTTTTAGCCTTGCAATTGGATTGAATCTCTTTGTGACTGCAGCCTTACAGTGTGGCACATCTTCAGCTGCAACACTGGGGGAAAGAAGGAAAGCAAATGAAATAATCTGAGCTGCCTTGAACTGGTAAAACAATTCTGAATTATTTTTAAGACCACATTTATCGAACATCTGTAAAGTACAAGAAATATATTTGTAAATATCAGGTGGTGCACATTTGGAGAAATGCATATTTGGATTTTGGATCGATAACAATAA